ATATACTATCTATGAGAAGTTAAATATCAAATAAAGCTGTAAGAGTTAATCAATGTCAGTTTGAAATTTCTATCTTAAAATTATTTGTGTTAGGTCTTTTATGTTAATTACTATGTTAGATCATTATTTTGAACTCTACTCAATATTTCGTGTAATGTAACATTACTATGTAGGAATCATTTGTCAGGTATGATAAATTAAATTTCGTTCTCAAAAGGCTGTAAGAGTTCAGTGCTAAATAAATTATTGACAATGTGAAATATGTGTCTTTTTCAGTTAAGTTACAATAAATACGTTAAAAATATTCCAAGTTAACAAATTTTTATATTCCAAATTGGGGAAAAGGCGATAAAGTTTCATTTCCATGGCTGAATATTAATTCCATGTGTATTATAGACATTAAGTTCTCCTTCACAAAATGTGACTATAATTCAAATTTAAAATAATACGTCACAATGTGGATATTCTTCTCTGTAGTTAAAATATAATTCAATCTTCTGTACCTTGTTAAGAGAGTTAGGCTGCGATAAGTTCAAATAGAGTAGTGTTTATAAAGTTCTGCGGCAAATGGTGGAATCATATTAAGAATCCGAGTGACGTTTTCACATGAAGGAAAAAATCAAGGTTTCAGTGTATGTTTGGTGATTTAAGTAGGATATGTGCAAGAAAATACAAGATATTTTTGTAAAAAATTTCAAAGAGTTAGCAAAATTTGTGTTAGTATTATAATGAATCTTACTGAATAAAAGGGAGTGTTCTGAATATATATGTATAAATGTCTGTAGAGTAAAATAAGAAGAATGAAGTACTACTTGGTATGTATCTAAACTTAAATGGGTAGAAATGCTCCATGCATTGGTTTGAGTGGCTTCATACCATGAAAATTTATTGCTCCTTTTAAGATTTATTTAAAGTCAGTAGGTCTTACAATAAAGAAACAGGTGTAAGTCTGTATTTATTATGGGGAAAAGGAATCAGAAATACAGCATGAATATTTTATAAGTTAAATATAGAGTAATGTGTAATGGAAAGTGTAAAAATTACATTTGTTAGACATAGTTTGGTGAATCCTTTGAATAAAAGTAAGACGTGTAAAAGGGAATCAACAAAGTTTTGTATAGTTAGTAAAATACATTGAAGGAAAAGTTCTGAGTATCTCCAACTTAGTAGTAAAAAAGTAAGAAATGTAGTATTCCAGTTAAACTATATAGAATGAGCATTGTGTATATTGGTTTATAATTACAGAAAATATTATTTAGTGAAGTTATATGCATTGTAAATTCCAGCTTAAAATTTCAAAGACGGAGAATGTAGGTAAGTTTACTTTTGGAGAAATGGAATTGTAACATGATGTTGTATTTAAAACAAGGGGGAAAAATAATTTAAGGGTAAAATAAAAATGTAACAAAAAAATTAAGGGAAACGGAAAAAAAAAAAATAAAATTTACTTTGGAAGTAAAATGCATAGGGAAAAAACAAAAACTGCATTTGTGTAAACAAAATCTCAAAAAAAATTAAATTATGAAACTAAATATTACTTTTGTAAAAAAAAATTAAGTTTTAAAAATGTAGTAACACCTTTTTTTTTAAATAAAAGCGGAAAGGAAAAATTAAATTTGTAAAATAATATTACTTTTGTAAAACCAAAAAAAGCTTAAACAAAAAAATTAAAATAAAGTAAAGTAAAAATACGAAAAGGAAAAAAAACTTTTGCAAAATAAAAAAAGTGAAAAGGAAAATTCAATTCGTAAATAAAATATTACTTTTGTAGAACCAAAAAGAAAATTAAATTAAAAAAAATTAAAATAAAGTAAAGTAAAAATACGAAAAGGAAAAAAATTCGAAAAAAAAAAACTTTCTCAAATAAAAAAGTGAAAAGGAAAAATTCAATTCGTAAAAATAATATTACTTTTGTAAAACCAAAAAGAAAATTAATATAAAAAAATAACTTTGGAAGATAAAAAGTAAAAAGAAAATTTTAAGTTCACTTTTGTGGAAGTAAACGTCAATTTGCGAAAGTTAAAAGTAAAATTTATGTTTGGGAAAGGGAAAAAAATGAAATGAAAAATTAATAAATTAACTAAAAAAATAGTTAGAATGAGATGAAGAAATGAAAACAAATTCAAAATATCTTAATAAAATAAAAAAGAGAAATTTGAAACTGTGGGAAAATCTTACATTTAAAACAGCAATGAATAAAGTAATGATTAAGAAGCCAAAAGAAATCCTAGCCGTCGTGTAAAAACAAATTAAGAGCATGCTCAGACTTTCAGTCTTATGTCATCAAAGGTGCAAAAAGTCAAAGGGCCAAAGAGGGTTTCAAATAACAAGTCTGAAAAGAGGACCGGGTAGCCGAGCGGTAAAGCGCTAGATTCCCATCCCAGAGATAGCGAGTTCGAATCTCCGCCGTGGAGTTATTTTTAAAATACAGGGAAAATGATACTAAATTCATTAAAAATGGATTAAAATATAATGGAGTCAATTAAAACTAATTAAAAATAATGATGGATTAAATAATTAAAAAGGATAATTTATAATTAAGTAATGAAACATAATTACAAAATAAAGAATAAAAAAGATTAAATAACTAAAATAATAAAGAAAAAAATTGGTAAATAAGGAAAATAATAAAGTTGACGTCACGTGGTTTAAGCGACCATTGCCACAAACGTAAAAAATAGTGTCGTTGCCACAAAAAATAAAAAACTTTGAAAAGATCGTTGCCACAGAATCAAAACGAAACTCATTATGATTACGTCATTCCATCACGTGATACCATCACGTGGCGCTGGTGTCTTCACTTCCGGAGAAATTCAAAATGGAGGAGGCCACTCCCCTTTTCTGTGACGTCATTTCCGTAGCACGAGTACCTGCGGTTACTACTGATATGCTCTGGTGTAGGTCGAAAAGATTGACTCAAATTGGTGATACTGTACGAATACAAGTCCCTGATGTCGACCGCGGTCGTACAGATAAACCGAAATGTGTTAGCGGTTGTTGTTGGAATAGAGGACTCCGACTTCTATAAACATTCAGACGAAAATGGTACCCTCAAGCAGCTTTACACACGTAATCAATTCATAATTTGTAAAAGAAAGTTACTTTCCATAAATGAGATTTATTTTTAAGAAATGTCGCTGAGAGAAGCAGCTGCAGCTAATTCGAGAAACGGTGGGCAAGGCAATACACGTTGTCATTGCAAAAGGAAGTGTTCCACAAACAAATACAGTTGTAAAAATCAATCGCCTCTTGTGCAATTCAAAGTGCCATAAAAGTTTAAGTTGTTGCAATAAATAAGATTTGAATCACATAATTCAGTAATTTTTTATTACTATTATTTTATTTTCTCATTTAGAACGTACTGTATAATTAAGTAAGTTTTTAAACTTCTATTATTTTCCTTTCTCATTTTGAATGTACTGTGTGTTTTAAGTTCTTAAGTTCTTATTTTTAAATCTCAAGTGCGTTTTTTCGCGACTGAATTACGAAGAAGAAAATATAATATTCTTATGTGTTCAACATTCACCATTAGTACATGGTGAATGTCGACATTTACCGGTGTAAGTCAGAAATAAGAGTATTTGGAAAATATTTTGGACATACACCAAGCGACAATATGAATGTTGACATTCACCGGTAAAAGTCCACATTCTCCAGATTTCGGTGTTTCACCGTAACATATATAATTTGTTTAGATGTTAAATGCACAGGGAATTTTTAGATGACTAAGTTGCACTTTGTTTCGATGTTAAAAAATATGTAAATGGCTTGATTTTTGGAATTTAAGATACAATTTTTTGTCTTACTGTATTTTAGGTGGTCTACAAAGGAAGAGAGAGGCCTTAGCGGATCAATTTAGGGCTTCACGATGGGCATTACGATGTCATCAAATCTGTCAAAGGGTTTTTCGACGGTAATCATTACTGCATGACCTGTGAAAAGAACACTCGGAACTATGAACACTCGGAAGAACATCGATGTGCCAATGCCTGTCACATATGTTTGAGGATCAACTGCTTTCCAGGCCAGCCCCAACGATGCCAGGATTGCGACCGTTTGTGCCGATCGGATGCCTATTATGCAGCACACAAAGCCATCACTGGAAACCAAGAGTTTTCCCTTTGCGATAGGGTAAGTGTTTTTTGAAAATTTATCTTAATGAACAAAGTTATTTATCATGTAATTTTCTTGAAATTGTTGTGTTTAAAAAAATTTTAATTTTTATTACAGGTATATCAGTGCAAGTCATTGAACGCAGTAAGTGCCCTAAAGAGTTGCATAGATGTGGCACCACCAAATGCCCTTCTTGTGGCCAGTTTGTCGTGACTGCTGAGCACCGTTGCTATTTGCGACGTGTTTCCCCGAAGAAGTCTGATGACAAGTTCATCTTCTTTGATTTCGAAACGGACCAGTCTTCGGGTGAAGCACCTCGTAAATTTCGCGGTGGCTCACTATGCCGACGGCACAGAGCAGGTATTTCCGGGATGCACGGCATGTCAAGATTTCTGTGCCTGGCTGTTCACCACACAGCACAAAGGCTACGCCGCCGTGGCACACAATATGAAAGGGTAAGACAAATTCCCATAGTTTGCATGATTCTTTTAAGTACGACTATTTTTCCAATGTTATTCATAATATGTTTTGCTTACGGGTTCGACGGTCAGTTCGTGATGGCCTGGCTCCTGGAGCAAGGTACAGCGCCGGAGGTGATCCCTAACGGATCCATGATCATGAGTGTAAGACATCCTAATCTGAACATTCGGGTCATAGATTCGATAAATTTTCTACCGATGGCGTTGTCCAAGCTGACGGGATGCTTCGGTCTCAGCGAGTTGAAGAAAGGATACTTCCCCCATCTCTTTAACTCGCGGGAAAATCAAAATTATGTCGGACCGCTACCGGAGAGCCCGGATTATTACAGCCCGGATACCGTATGAGCACTTCAATTCGAAAAGCATTTCTGTCCTGGCATGAAGAACACAAGGGGGATGTGTTTAACTTCCAAGAAGAGATGCTGGCCTATTGCAGGTATAGTTTTTCCCTGCTTCTTGCTTTAATTTTATATTTTATGTTTCGTATTTTTTAATATTTCCTTGTATGTATTAATAGATCGGATGTGGATATTCTTCGCCACTGTTGCCTGGAGTTTCGAGCCCAGTTTTTGGATGTGGCGGGTGTGGATCCATTCCAGTAAGTCATTTTCCTAATTCTTTTATACAATAATAATAATGCTTACAGTTATGTTCTTATGGAATAATTATGTTTCGTTTCTAATGAAGTTGTTCTTTTTTCTTTTCAGATACGTGACCAATGCGTCAGCCTGTATGACAACGTGCAAGTGGCCACATTCAAGCTGTCACAATAGCCATAGTGCCCACATACGGATACGTCAACTCCATCAATTACAGCCCTGATTCGATCTGGTGGTTGGACTTTGTTGCTGATTCAGAAGGTCTACAGATTTAACGTGCTCTGAATGGCTCCGGAGAGCACAGAATCGCCAGAATCTCTGTAGACGGTTTCTGCCAAGTAACACAAACCGTCTATCAGTTTCAGGTAAGAAAATACAGGGTGTTTATAAAGTCCCGAACCAATTTTGATGTTTAATAACTCATAAAATAATGAAGATATAAACAAACTTATGGCATTTATTGATGGAATAACTTATATGTTTTTCTTTTCAGGTTTGAATATATTTACTTTTGTAAATATCGTCTGCGTGTGTGGTTAATTTCAGAAAATTTCATTCTCTGCTTATTAATTGTATTTTTCTCTCTTTTGTTTTTGGCAACTATTGCAATGTTATGTTTACTTTTGATGTGTTTGTTCCAGTATTTTGGTATGTGATGTTTTATTCGACCGGATATTAAGGGGAATGCATACACCACAAGAGAAAGCACAGATTTTATGGTGGTTCATAGAAATGAAATCCATAATGCAAACACAGAAAAATTGCAGAAGAATTTACCAAAAAGATCCTCCATCCAAAAGCTACATCTTGCGATGGAAAAAGAATTTTCTAGAAACTGGAAGTATCGCAAATAAGAAACGCTCCGGACGTCCCTGCACAAGCAATTTTGATATTGAGCGTGTCAGAGAGACATTTTTACACAATTCTAAAGGATCTGTGAGATCAGCGGCAAGAGAATTGGATATGCCAATTTCGACGGTGTACAAGGTTATTAAAAAAATTAAGACTGCATGCATACAAAGTTCAAATTGTTCAAGTTTTGGAATCGGACAATAGGCCTAGGAGGATGGCCTTTGCAACAGATATGCTAAGGTATATCTGTTGCAAAGGTTGTATCTCCTAAAGTATAGAAGATGATGCTGAATTTCTGAAGCGCATAATGTTCTCCGACGAAGCATCCTTTCAGCTTTCTGGCATTGTTAATCGCCATAATGTGCGCATATGGGGATCTGAAAACCGTCATGAATACCGTGAGGCACAAAGGGATTCCAGAAAGGTTAATGTGTGGTGCGGACTAATGCACGACCGAAGTCATTGGAACTTGCCTTTCTTTTTTACAGAAAAGACGGTCTTTATTCATCAGTCGTATACTTAGACATGTTGGAAAACTTCCTATTTCCACAACTAGAAGAGCTTCAGCCACATGTCGTTTTGCAACAAGAAGGCGCACCACCTCATTGGGGTACCATCGTTCGTAGTTCTTTGAATGACCATTTTACAGGAAGATGGATTGGGTGAGGAGGTCCAATTCCTTGGCCACCCAGATCACCTGATATAACGCCGCTGGACTTTTTCCTTTGGGGATATTGTAAAGGACAACGTTTACAGGAGGAGAGTGTCGAACATTGATGACTTAAAAGCCATAATTACAACCGCAATAGCCTCTGTGGATGACGACATGTTTGCCGGTACCTGGCATGAAATTGAATATCGAATTGATATTCTCCGTGCGACGAAGGGCACACGTGAGTCTTACAGATCATAACGTTGTTACACATTAGTATACTTTATTTCTTATATTTAGAGTATTAACATCAAATGGGTCGGACTTTTAAAACCTTATAACCATTCTTTTTCTAAGGATTTTTTTTTAGAAAATATTAATATATTTGTGTTTTTAGGGCTGTTTCTTTCATGGATGTAGTTCCTATTATAACGGTGATATCATTCATCCTTTGAAAGGGGTTTCCATGGCAACGTTGAGAGAGAAAACGGAAGAAACCACAAGAAAACTTCCCAGGGTTTGACAGTCATTGAAATGTGGGAGCATGAGTTTCAAAGGCAGAAGGAGGAAAATCTAGATCTCCAAGCTTTCCTGGATCAACACCATCTGAGGGACCGGCTCAATCCTCGCGAATCATTTTTCGGAGGACGGACCAATGCCCTCAAATTGTTCCACGAGGGAGACGCAAAATATGTGGATTTTACGTCACTCTATCCATGGGTTCGTACTTTTTTATTATTTTTCAAAAATGTTTGATTAAACTTTTCTGTATTTTATCTATGTTTTTTATGATGTGTTTTTTCTGACTTTTTGTTTTCATTCACAGGTGAACAAGTATTGCGTCTACCCTGTGGGACATCCAAATCATCACGGAAAGCTTTGGAGATGTAGGAAAATTACTTTGGAATTATCCAATGCCGTGTGATTCCTCCACGGAATCTGTATCTTCCGGTACTGCCCTATCGGTGCCGGAAGAAGCTGATGTTCCCCCTGTGTCGGACTTGCGCCCTTCTTCAACTGCAGACTCCGTGTACCCACACAGACGACGAGCGAGCTCTTGTCGGAACGTGGGTAACGGAGGAAGTCAAGCTGGCGAAAAAGAAAGGTACCGCGTCACACATGTAAGTACTCAAAGATTTTTTAAATTTTGTCATAACCCAAATTTATTTTAATCTTTTGTCATAACTTTTATTTTATTTAAAATCTTTTGTCATAACTAAAATTTTATTTTTACTCTTTTTTCTAGATTTACGAAGTGTATCATTTCTCGGTATGTTCTACTTCCCTGTTTCGATCATACATTGATCCTTTTCCCAAGATTAAGCAGGAAAGTAGCGGATGGCCTTCGGAGTGTGTGACGGGAAGACCAGACTGAAGTACATTCACCAGTATGAAGAAAAACAGGCATCAGGTTGGACGCCGAAAAAATATCGAAAAACCCTGGGCGTCGACAAGTTGTCCCTGAACAGTTTCTATGGCAGGTAAGATGATTTCTTTTGTACTTAAATTTTTTTGTAAACTCTTTTAGCACATTTTTTAATTCCTAGTGATTTATGTTGGATTTTGTTTTTTCACTCTGATGGGGTATAAACGTAAACAAAGCTCAATTGACCTATGGCCACATGGTGCCAGACTTCAATAAGATGTCGGCGGATCCTACTAAAAAAGTAAGTTTTCTTATCGATTTTATCAATCTATAAACTTAATGTATTTTGAACTGTTACTCGTGTATTTTGAGCTGTTAACTCATGACTCTTCTATTTTCAGATCAAAGATGTCTTTCTTCCCACGTCTGAGGTGATTGCTATTTGCTGGGAATCTGCGAAGGAGTTCGTGCTGCATGATGCCTCGACCAATATTTTCCTAGCGACCTTTACGACAGCTTGGGCTCGTCTCAAGCTGTTTAGTAAAATGGAGAAATTGGATCGAGACGTCCTGTATCACGATACAGATTCGATTACCTATGCCTCGAATGGTTGCAATGATCCCCCCTTGGGCAACTTCCTTAGGGAGAATTTACGGATGAACTGGAGGGTGATGTCATCAAAACCTTTCGTCTCTGGTAAGGACCTTTAAAAAGTTCTTATTTAATATGTACCAAAAAATGTTTAATGTTTTTTCTATTATCTCTTTTTTTCTCATGATGTTTTATTTTTTTTCAGGAGGACCGAAAAACTACGCATACCAGACGGCCACTGGGAAAACCTGCTGCAAAGTCCGAGGATTTTCATTGAACTTCCGCAAATTCCCAGTTGCTGAATTTTGAAGCCATTAAAAGTCTGGTCTGCAGCCTCGACCGAAAGTGAGATCATCTCTCTCCACAACCCCTCCAAAATCACCCGAGAAGCGAAAAGAAGAAAGGTGGTGAATAAACCCGAGAACAAAACTGTACAGAATTGTGTTGGACAAACGGGTGATCCAAAAGACTTGACACCATTACCATTTGGTTTTTAAAAAAAGACTTTTGAAAAATGTATGGTATGTACAAAAATGTATTATATGTAAAATGATATGTGCATCCAGAATTTGTAAAAATTAAAATAAAATAGAAGTTTGAATGATAAAATTATGGTGTTTTCTCTTTTGGAAAGATTTCATGAAAGGTAAGTTTTTTTTTATTTTTAGAAAATAATTGTTATGATTATGTATATGTTAGTATAATCAAAAACATTATTTTATATGTTAACTTTATCAAAGAAAAACATAATACAAATAATCAGCCATTAACTTTTTATTATGAACATTTCATTACACTTTCAGCCATAGTTTCGAAGAGGATTTTCTTTTAGGTCATACATAGTTTTTACATGGATCAAATGCTTGTTTTTCACAAAGTCTTGAGGAAAGTTGTTAATATTGAGTACATTTTTAAACTGTTCAAAGGCAGTAAGGTTTTTGAGTTCTATTTCTCAACAGAAAGTTTATCAACTGAACAATGTCAGAGCCAGAAAACACATGATCATCCAGAATGAGTTCTTTATTCTGTGTCCAGGAAATCTGATGCTCTTTTAGAAAATCTATTATTTTCTGTGCCGTTCTTTTCTGTTTCACAGGAACTGTTTGCATAATTTCCTTTTCTATACATCTTTCTCAGAACGTTGTTCAGGCGGTTGTTCTTCGGACGCAGTGTTCACATGAGGAAATGTAACATACTTTTGCAGAACCTGGATGTACAATTTGGACTTTTTCTTCATCGTCCATTTTCTTTTTTAAGATGTTTTGAATTTGGGTATCTAAATCACTCAAATGTTCATCTTCAAACTTGCTGCATACGATCCAGGGGTACCAGCGCAAATTTCTTACTGTGTTCCATGGATAAGAGGAGGATAAGACACTGACTGCTGCAGGAATCAGGAAAGATAGGAAACCGTCACCTTTTTGAACCAAAAGACGTCTTTTCTTAAAAAGAGGTACTTTTTTTGTCCGCTAGTTTTCTTAAAGTTCTTTTAAAAGGGGCGAGTCGATTTTTGACGCGTTTGGTGATGGGTACGTTTCCTTTTAGAAGATTTAAAACACACTCACAAACTGATTTGATGAGATGATTCGGACACTTTTTCAGTACAGCTGCTTTTATTCGACTTTTTCCTAATAGTTTTAGATAATCCACATCCTTCAGATGAGACATGCTGATGACAAATGAGCTCTTTTTCTTGCACACTTTCTTTTATATAGGTAGCAAATGCAGCCGCTTTGGTTAAAGCACAGCAATTAAATCCTTTTGCATGAATCGAACATGTTAAAGAACTTTTCTTTTTTAAATTCTCTATCTTAGGACAGTCTAGATTTATGATGTCTCTACATAATAAATTTTCTAAAAATAATTTCTTTTCTAATCCTTTCACGTATATGACAGAATAAATAGATGACAAATATTGCAAAATAATACGAAGATGAGTATAAGGTAATACACCCTCACTCCAATTCATGTGATGACGATTTCTTGTGACCCAAGCAAAACACTTTTGCTGAGATCGTGATAATGTTTTCCAAGGCTGAGGAGGTAAAAATGACCAGCAACTGTGATATCCTTCATGCACGGAGTAAAAAGCTAATTCTTTAACAATGTAACAATGAGGCATCCACTGAAAACCTTCGAAATCGATCACGATGGGAGAAGACATGTTAGCCATTCGACGTCTCAAACTGAAATGAACTATCGGGGCTGGTAGACATAGTATTTATCCCCAGGAAAGATGCCTGTACGAAGGCGAAGCGTTTCACTTGTTTCAGGTCGTAAATCAATCAACAAGTAGCTAAATGGAGTTGAAGTAGCATCCTGAAAAATTTCTTGAAAGGCCTTTACTTTTCCGGGGAACATTTGTCTAGCTAAATGCATAATTTGACTTTTATCTCTAGGATTTTTGTATAGGACAAGGTAATGGGAATTTAAATGAATATTTCTCATCTCCTTGCCTTGGTGAAAAAGATTTTGTGTTATAAAAACGACTGAAAGGTTTCGGTGATGACTTCCTTTTGTAAAAAGTTTGCTTAAGCGAGTATCACTTGCTAATTCAGACATTAAATCGTCTATGATAATTAAAGCATTTTGGAGAGTCTGCAGGTTAGATGGTAATCCTTCTTCAAAATTTACATTTTTCATGGAATTAAAAAGAGGTTGATAACTTCCGTAGCAATAAATAATATTGGTCGGCATGGGATGGAACATTTTATGATCTATCAATTTCTTCACAAAAACCGTTTTACCCGAACCGGTAGGTCCGCTCAGAAGACAAGTAGAAGGATGTACGAACTTGGGCAGTTCCATTTTTGGAAATGACAGCATGTTAAGAAAACACTGACTTTTATACTTTATCGAAAATCCTTTTGCATAAGACATTTATTCATTTTGTTTAAATAAGTGTAGAAACAAGAAACACAAGAGACATTTTTACAAATTAAAACAACTTTATTTTTTTTAAAAATCATGTTTACACCATATCTTTTTTTTTGACAAATTGAAATATTTGGAAATCATGATTCTTCCCATCTAAGGGTGATACAATGAGTTCCATACAGAGTCCTTGACAGCGTTTAATAATAAAATAAATACAATAATGTCCACATACATTAGAAGTTAAACTCTGAAGCGAAATCTTGTTCCAGCAAACATGACGATATTTCTTGACAAAGGATGTGATATATCTTTTCCATATACTTCAGGCGGGAGTCCATAAGAGTCAAAAAATTCCAGAGTCTGTTTGTCTGCAATGTAGACAGCTAGCCAATGAGTTCCTTTTTCATCATGTTTATCCGTATTGAGCACCAGTGCACAGGGAAAACTTTGAATCGCAGGTATTTTATCACAAGGAAAAACACCCGCATAATATCTCAAAGAAATAGGATCTCGAGATAAGATTTGATGAATCTGTGATGAATTCATCAGTTTCCAAAATCGTACAGAATATTTCGAGCTTTATTGATTTCTATCAAATTTTCAAATTCAGCGTACACTAATAACGAAACAGTTTGTTGTAAGGGAGTCCCAAATTTTATTTCTAATCTTAAGTTGCTGTGTCGAACTAGATTTAAATGAGAGCCATCACAAAGGTCAGGTGACAGGTCGAAGCGAAATAAGGAATATCCTTTTGAAAATTCTGATCTTGAAAGGTAAAGTCCTCTGTCGTCTGCATTCATAAATAAATTCTGATAAGCTCGTATGAAATGATTTTTGTCAAAATTAGGCTGAAGAGGATTATGAGGTACCGGTTGCCCGTCCACATAAACGCCGATAAAGTTCATATTATAATGCTTGAATTCAAAAGGAGACTTTTTATAGTTTCCGTTAAAGGCATCATTATCGACACATGCCACCACAATACGATTAGGCATTTGACCTATGAAAATATTGTCTTGAATAAAACTCATATTTCCCGTTGGAATGGAATAGGCTTTGCAGAGCACTCTATTAATGGGATATTTGGCTGTTGATTTTTCTAGGCTTTTGGCATGTCCTAGCACAACACCTGGGCTACTGACTCTCACTTTGCGTTACAAACAATGAAGCTTGTTCGAGTAAAACTTTAAATTCACCTTCGCCCAATAAACAAAATTCAGGTTTGCTGCGTATGAGTTTAATTTTCATATCCACCATATTCAGCAAAAGTCTTTCCTGATGAAACATATCCAAGTGCAATCGGCCAATCATATCGACCGAAGCACTCAGTTTAAACAATTCTGCTCGTTGGTTGAATCCTTCATTCGGCTGAGTGTCTTGAATATCAAAAACGTTCATACGTCCTGCTGTATCTTTGAAAAACAATTCTGATGACAGTTGAGACGTTTTCGTATCAAAACCATGATTCAATAATTTTTCTATCATGGCTCTGTAAGGATACGTGTTATTACTGGTGGAAACGAGTCTTTCATTTAAGCTAATATCCACTTGAGAAAACATAGAATGTAAAAAGAGATTGACAGGTCCCACTTTACTTTCAGCCGTGATTGGCTTGCCATCATTTTTTAAAATTTTCACTTTGACGTAGAGTTGTGTCTGTGATAAGTCTAGGTAGTCGTCTCCGCTTCCAGAAACATTGAACTCGACAGGACTTCCTTCCGATACATTGGCTAATGGATGAAATTCAACCCACTGACCTTTTTCGATAACTGTTTGTGTGGGAGGTAACGAAAATAAATCCAATTCGGATTTTGCGCATTCCGGAGAATCTTTTAACAGAAAAGCCATTACGAGTCAAAAATATCACGTCGTTGCACCTTCCTGGCTTTAGACGAAATGAAGTGTTTGGGGGTTTTGCGCTTCCTTTTAAACCTTCCGTGACCAATCATCTCGTCTGCTTTCTGAACTGCTTTCCTCGCTAATTTTTTGCCAGCTTCTTTAGATCTGGTTTTGAGGGAGACTTTAAAATTTTCTCCCGACAATACGTCGTTTGCAATTTGTGTTCCAGTCCGCAAGGCTTCTTTTCCGACTGTTTTGGTCCCCCTCATCAAAAAAGGCATAGCACTGCGAAACAGCTTTGAAAAAAATCCACCAATACCATAACCTTTCTGTAAAATGGTTCCTTGATAGTAAGGTAATCCATTTCCAGTTTGAGCTAAATAATAATCTTCAAATTTTTTCGTGCAACACGTATAAGGCACCCGCATGTTTGATGCTTCTAATCTTGCATACACAATCCAAATGAAATCAATTTGCAAATGAAGGCTTCTTTTATAGAATTTGTCTCAGACGAAAATGCAACACAAGAAATACTTTGCCTCTTTCGAATGGTACTAAATCTCCAGAGTGAAGTCTTATGTCAATATGTATAG